TCTCATATATTATCTTGCATTTATATACTTTAAATTACCGATTTAAATAAACAAATTCAACATTTATTACTTATGCATGAACATCTCCTATATAATATTGCATTGATATATTTTGAAATACTTATTTAAAAATAATTATTGGGCATTATCCCATTCGCGCAAAGCGCGTAAAAAAAACTAGTATATATATATATATATATATATATATATATATATATATTATTAATATTAGGTTTTTATTTTTATTTTATTTTATGCAACTTGTAATTATATTTTTAAATACTTTATTTGATCAATTCTTTTATTATAAATTTTATTGTTCAATATTGTTATGAATTTCTAATGAAATAGTTTTTTTTTTTTTGTTGATGTTTATTAATAATATATATATAAGTAATGAGCATATAAGTCTCAGCATACTATGGATAAAAATAATAATGTTGAGAATGCTGCAAATGTGGCTGAAAAACTATATAATAAGAAGAATTTTATGATACACTCTGGAAATTATGAAATTTCCTACCACCTGAAAGTGATCTTAAATTAAGTCGATAGCCTTGTTCCGACCACTTTTTGGTATCCGAAAAAACCTTTGTTGCTATTTCTGACCACTTTTTACTTTCGACTTGATTTAAGATCACTTTCAGGTGGTTGGAAATTCTATAATTTTCAGTAGTGATATATTATAAATGTTTTGTAAGAAAATTATAAATGATAAGAATCAAAATTATTGAAAGTTTGTAAGGATGTATTCAGTTTAGAATTTCAATGACTTTTGTATACTTTTTAAAATAAAAAATTGATAAAAGTCTATGAATGTTTTTTATATAAACTTAGAGTCTTATAAAGTTTTAAAAAGTTTTGAACGACTCTATGAAAGTCGATCAAAGTTTATTAAAATTTATCATTTTAAAAGTCTTTCAAACTCTACAAAAGTCATGATTGAATACACCCCCTTAATTCAATTTATACTACCAACACAATTTTAGTTTCAATTAAGGATTATCATTGGCTCGATCTTATTAAATTTTAGAGTTATGTTTAAACTTAAAAAAAAATCATGTGATAATTAAAGTTGTAGTATAATTTTTTTTATTAGATTTAAGTGTAATATGTTACAAAATATTTGAATAATGGACATTATTACTCTTTAATATCATTGATTAGCCATTAGTGTATTGCTTTGTAACTGTTATTCCTTTGTATTATATAAAGTTAATTCTCAATAATAAGATGACTTTTCGAGTCTTCATCTTCTATCTACTTCCTTACTATATTGTTATTGTTCCTGCAAATTCATCTACCAGTTAGGAGTTAATGGGCATCAACATCTTAACACGTTATCGGCATGCTCAATATACCCGGTGAACGGTAATCCTATACGTTACGTTTTTTTGCCTAAAATCACATATTCTATGTTTTTTTGCATCTGCCTATGTATGATTTTTAAGATATATTTATCTTTTACTGGTAGTACTCATATATGTGAATTTTGGGCATATGATTATCGTTTTACTGGATAGTACACATGCATAAATAGTATTCTTTTGATACTGTGATCGTATCTGATATATATATATATATATATATATATATATATATATATATATATATATATGCAATTCCAGTATAATATTGCATTTCATTTACATCAAAATGTGTATCTTATCTAAACTTGTCTTCCAACAAAAAAGTAGAAGGGAGAAGTTTTTTAAACATACTGTGTTGTTTACTGTTTTTTTCAAAACCAAAAGCAACAAATTTTCTCAGATTTGTCTTTAAAAAAATGAAGTTAACATTTTTCTACAGCATAGTTTAGAAACAACCGTTTGTTTTGCATATTTTGAAATACAGAGAGTTGGTTTACATACTGTTTTTATTTTTTTTCTTTCCCTTGAATCTTTGAACCGATTAAAATAAAATAAAATAAAATAATAATAATAATAATAATAATAATAATAATAATAATAATAATAATACAAATCGAATCGCGAGTTCCATTATTAACTTGGCCAATGGGGGCTGATCAATACACTAACGCAATTCTCATAGCAGATGAAATAGAACTAGAGCGAGTGAGGGTGAAGAAATGGTTCCTAACTCGGACGAGCTGGGTCAAGAAGGAAAAGGAGTTGAACAAAGGGAGCGTGCATTGCACTTACGCTGAGCAGCAATGGGTAGTGTCAACATGCAAATTATGCCGTGGAAACGTGTTCACCATGCTTGGTGAACACGGTCCCAAACTGCATCATTTTTACCGAGAAAAAAAATTAGTTAATGTGCTGTTAACGACGTATTGCATTCTATGTTCAGAATATGAATTTACATTTATTAAATTATGAATTTTCTGTTATGAGATTATGAATTTACAGTTATGTAATTAAGAATTTTCTGTACATTCATAATCTCATAACAGAAAATTCATAATTTCATAACAAAAAATTCATAATCTCATAAAAGAAAAACATTTACTAAATTATGAATTTCCTGTTATGAGATTATGAATTTACAGTTATGTAATTATGAATTTTCTGTACATTCATAATCTCATAACAGAAAATTCATAATTTCATAATAGAAAATTCATAATCTCATAAAAGAAAATTCATAATTTCATAACTGCACATTCATAAATCCATGCCTGCACATTCATAATTTATGAGTGTTGAAGAAACTTGCACGAAGAGGAAGTGAAACCGCAAAATGTGAATATGAAGAAGAAAAGTCGCACTATTAAAAAAATAAATAAGTAAATAAAATAAAAAAGAAAGATTGGTGGAAAATAACGGGTTTGGGACCGTGTTCACCATGGATGGTGAACACGGTTCCATGACATAACGATTGGTGTCAACAAGGGTGGAGATTCATTCAACAATTTGGAGGACTTTGTGATGCACTTGTTTGAAGAGGCTTCAAAAAATGTAAATACCATGCCCAATAGGCAATAATATAATGTATAAGTTCGAATTTGAAAAAGTTAATAAAAAAATGTTTTAAAATTTTAAAAAGTGCTAGTGTCATTTAAGTATGGTTGAAAATAATGTTTTTCTTTTTTAAAAAAGTGAATTTAAAATGATGTTAAATGTTTCCGATGAAATGCTATGCTTATAGCAAATTTAGACAACAAACAAACACTAAGGGGTGTTTGGTTAATAGTATCCCACATAATCTTAGGAATATAAATATGGTAATATTCTCTTGTTTGATTCAATGAAATATGAGATTACTATAGGAATTTTGATATTCCCATATTTTGTTTTTAGTTCATTCAAGGTTGAAAATTATGCCATTTTCGACCACTTGAAAGTGATTTTAAATCAAGTCGAAAGTCTTGTTCCGACCACTTTTGATATCCGGAAAAATTTTTGTTGCTATTACCGACCACTTTTTGCTTTCGACTTGATTTAAGATCACTTTCAGGTGGTCAAAAATTCCATAATTTCCAGCAGTGATTTTTTGGTAGCTTTCATGGGAATCACATTCCCTCACATTCTTATATTATGTGAGATTCTCGAGAATGTTACATTATCTCAAAATATCCCTTGAACTAAAAATCTATGTAGTATTATAGAGTATCGAATTACAGGGAAGTAAGAGCATCGAACACTAACTACTAGCCTATTTATAATAAGTTAATGGTAATGTAACAAGTAAAATTGAATTAAAAGGAAGTAAACAATTTACTATCATAAGTGAGGCAAATAAATCGAAAGATGCAAAGTGAGTGAGAATGTGAGATCTTTGGGTCAAGTGTTTAATTACCTAAGTGAAAGTCTCAACAAGTGTGGAGAGTTGCAAACCAAGAGGGAGGGAAGTACTTTCATAATCCTAACCAAGTCAAAGATAGTGCAATATATTCACTCCCATACGATGATCAAACAAGCAATGTAAAAACAAGCCACCAAATAATTAAATCCCTTAACATCTATATTATCATTTCCGAAGGTACAAGAATTAAGTGTAACTATGAGTGCCCCAAGTTCCATCAAGGCACAATTTTAGTAAAGATGTAATTTGAACTCTTAACCACAAACTACTTCAACAATATGAATCACAAATTATAACACAAGATTATTAATATAAATAAATAAATAAATAAATAAATAAACCAAAACAAAACCAAATAAACATTTCATTACGAATTGAAGGACTAGACCACAAAGGTTCATTAACACTATATACCGAAAAATTCCAAAGTGTTCTTAGCCACCAATAGTTAACAATGTCTCAAATACACAAATTATGAAAGAAAATACAATGAACAAAAAATGTAAAGAAAAAGGCAAGAGATTCTACCAAAAGGAGGTCTCCTTCCAAACTTCTCCTTAACCTTTGGTGTAGCTTGAATCTTACTTCATCTTATTGACTTGATGAAATTCCTCTTCTCTAGCCTTTGGTGTAGCTTGAATCTTACTTCATCTTATTGACTTGATGAGATTCCTCTTCTCTAGCCTTTGGTGTAGTTTGAATCTTACTCCATCTTCTTGACTTGATGAGATTCCTGATCTTCTCTAGCCTTTAATTTGGTGTAGCTTGAACCTTACTTGATCTTCTTGACTTGATGAGATTCCTTTTCTCGAAAAATGTTGGCCCTTACTTTTCACCTTTAGACAATGTAGAACTCCAATATCTCTAGCTCACTCTCTAGCCTCAACCAATTAAGTATTGTCATGCCAAGGTTGGGTTTTGAGAAGAAACAAAAGCTTTTATAGTAGGAACAAAGGAGGGAAAAAAATGATAATGTGTAGCTGTAAAATCGTTTGTATAGAAAATTTTGTCACGCTAAAGTTCTATATCACCGCATCAAGTCGTTGAAGCAACAAGGTTCATGAGACGGTTTAATTTATTCCTTATTAGTATTACATTTCTAGTATAAATATTACTTTTTATCTTGATCCGACCCGTCTTATTCGTGAGGCGATTTCACATCAATTTTTCTCACTTTATAAAACCTTTATTTGCAAGTCCACAACTCACATGCCAAAAAGAGTATCTAGAACAATCAAGATTCTTTGCCTACACCTGTATATTTACATTTTTATTTTCTTTTGATTTATTAAGCCAGATGCCAAAAAGAAGAAACATCCTTGGACTTGCGAGGAAACACTCTTTTGGTTTTCTTAATCAAATAAAAACTTTAGAATATTCCAAGAGCAAAACCCATATGGACAAATAATTAATAATTAATATATACATTAGAATTATATTACTTGCTTTTAATTTCAAACACAAAAATAAACAATACAATTGACTGTATTAACCAGCTTGGTTGGCGTGAGTGGCCGTGCACTATTGTCCCTTATGAGAGGTCGGGAGTTCGAACCCCCTCTCGTATGAAAAAATCAATCTGGCCCGCACTTTGCCACTTAACTAATTGAGTTGCTCCGAGGATATCTCATGGTCTAACAAAATAATAAAAAACTAAATTGGTGAGACATCAATAAAGATACAGAATTCATAATTTCATATAATATATATATATAAGTTAATTATTAACCCTTTGTTTTAGTTAATCTGTCTCTTTTATTTTTTGGGTGTAGTCCATGATTTTCACCGTTGAGCATAGTGACTAATCTCATCGCTTAATTGTAAGCACCTCTATTGAATGGGACAGTTGACCAAGAGATTTAAGGTTGCTTCATACCCAAAGCCAAGGATCGAAGCCTTGAACTTTAGTTATATTATCTTAAATTCATACTGAATAATGATGTTTTAAAGTTTTTAAAGAAAAATTTTAAGATGTTTTAAAGCTTTATTATATAGATTGTGAAGTTTAGATGTACAGTCATAAGAAGTCACTATCAAACTTTTGTGAATTTCTTTTTAGAATTTTTTTTCTTTTTTTTTTTTTTTTTTTTGAGAATAAAAGCTTAATGCATTAGATCAAAACCAAGAATGTTCACAAGAAACTGAAGGGGTGTGGTGTACCACTCCCCGCAACTTGACAAAGAAACGACCTCCCTAGCAAGAGCATGGGCACGATTCGCAAACCGTCTAGAAAAATAGAAGATTACATCTGTAATCTGAGATGCAATCTCCTTTACATCATCTACTACTAAATCAAACGAGAAATTATATGTATTTAAAGTTAAAGCATGAAAAACAAGCTGGGAATCGGTTTCCACATCAATATCATTAGTATTGTTATTAGTATTTAAAATATGCCAAAAATCTTAATTGTTGGTTTGAATGCCAAAAATCTTAATTGTTGGTTTGAATGCCAAAAATCTTACATCAGTAAATTAAGTTATCCAACAAAATTGGTCAAAATATTTAGACTTGATAATTTAATTTATTATACAATTTTCATTGCACTTTTTCCGCCTACTTTAAGTGGTCGGAAATGTTTTATCAACATTGAAAAATTAAATAAGAGCATTTTTAATATTGATCAACTTTTATTTCAAATATCATTCGATCACCATTAAAAGTATCGATATGCTTTAATTTCGAGATGTTCTCCAAACCAAAACTTATATAATAAAACATTCAAAGATGAGGGACGAATTGAAACTCATACATACCATCCAAATTAAGGTAGGTTGTCAAGTTTTTAACTTTTTATCAATTCTCTTGCTAACTTTATTCTAGATTATTCTTAATGAGGAAATGTTTGAGAAAATTACACTTTTGGTCCTGTGACTATTGTGGTCTTGTTAATTTTAGTACTCGACTTTAAAAACTAACAATTTAGTCCTGTAACTATGCAATTTTTAACACATTTGGTCCTGTCGGCCAAATCACCGGCCAAATGCTACCGGAAAAACGTAAATGTTTTAAAATTGTTTATTCATGAGGGCAAAACAGTCATTTCAAACCACTTTCTTCTTCTTCCTTGTCCTTGCTGGCCGGAATCGGAGGAATTGATACGATTTTTTATTTTCGCCGTCAAAATGTTGCCGTCCTTCTCTCCTTTTTGGTTTTCTATCTTCACCATATATATAAGTAGTAAAAAAAATATCAATTTTTAAAATTTTAAATGGTTGTTACAATTTTTGAACCACACATGAATTTATGCTTTTGACCATTTTCAATGGCAACCAGAGACAGAGTTCTCTCAGGCGCATACAACACAAAGACACAGGGATCCGAAAGTAATACCAATTCGATCAGAGGAGCAAACCGGTCAGAGGAAATCGGAAAACGATCATATTTGCGACAAGCTAAGAACATATCCAAACTCAGATTTGTGGTTCAAAGATTTATGGCCTGAGAGTCCGGGAGAGTGTGTATATAGGATAGGCCTCCTCTTTGCAAGGATTTAGTCAAATGCCATGGAAGCTTACGTGTGATTTCTTGTCTCCTGTACAAGATTATCTCCGTCGTGACCATGGAAGATTAGCTCGTACAGTGTGTATATAGGATTATCTCGCACCACTGGCGGCCCTATACAGAATCGTCGCAAATTGTTGGACCATTGCGACGTTGTTCTCCGTCCGACGACGATTGACTTCCCCAGAATGGTTATCCGATGATTTCCTTTTTTTTAAAAAAAATGTAAAATGACCGTTTTGCCCCATGACTAAACAATTTTAAGACATTTATGTTTTTCCGGTAACATTTGCCCTGTAATTTGGCCGGAAGGACCAAATGTGTTAAAAATTACATAGTTACGGGACTAAATTGTTAGTTTTTAAAGTCAAGTACTGAAATTAACAAGACCACAATAGTCACAGGACCAAAAGTGTAATTTTTCTCGGAAATGTTTGTAACATTAATAAATTGTGTATTCAAAAAAAAAAAAAAAAAAAAACATTATGAAATTGTTTTTCTCCGTTTTCTAGCCGCCAATCGCATTATGTCCCTTCTTTTAGAGTGATTCTCATGTGAAATAATACCGTGACAAGTCGAATCAAGATGAAAATGTAATATTTATATTAAAAAATTTAATACTAATCAAAAATAAATTAAAATGTAAAAGTATTATATTTTCTTTTAAAAAGTTTACAATTTCTCTTATGAGTAATAAACACTTTATTACTAATTAGTATTACATTTTCATCTTAATCCGATCAGTCTCAACAAAGAACTGTGATACGGAATTACACAAATTTTTAACTTTTTTTTTATTGGTTTTTGCCTTCTACCTGCGTAAACATTTTGCTGGTAAAATTTCTCTCCATTTCTATTCGTAGCCATGGAATAACGATTTTGCCCCTAAAATATAAAATCCGGAAATATTTTACCGTCAATTTGGCTAGAAGGACCAAAACTTATAAAAATAATTAACAAAGTTAGGCACCAAAATTGAAAAAAAATTAAAGTTGTGCACCAAAAGTGATAAGAACTCAAAAGTCGTGAGACCAAATGAAATTAATTCGAATATAAATTATGTTTATAAGTCAAAACACATAACAGTTGTAGAAGGAAAATTTGTGAATACAATACAGAGTCATCAAATCATAATCTGTTAATATTGTGTGACTGCAGTATTTGAAAATAACTTGTGAATACAAAACAAGATAATCAATTACATATATATGTTAATATTGTATGTTTGTAGTTTATAAATTGTGAATTTTTAAAATGTAAATTGTGAACATTTAAACCTGAATTCACCTTGCAAGGTGGACCCGGATACACGGAATAATTTGCCCCAAAGAAACATGTGGGCTTACTAAAAAAAGAGTAAATTAAGAGTAAATACTCAATATAGTCCTCGACTATAGTGGTTTTACTCATTTTAGTCCTAAATGACTTTTTGTGCTCAATTTAGTCTTCGACTTTGATGGTTTTACACAATTTAGTCCTTTGTGCTCAATTTGGTTCACGGAATGTCAGATTACCGGTGGGAATGTTAGATTGCTGGAAATGTTAGATTCCTGTGTTTGGTTAAAATTGGGGTATGTAATATAATCATGTTTGGTTTAGGGTTATCTTTTATACACACTATAATATCCTTAACATATTTTTATATATTTTAATAAATTTAAAAATTAAAATAAAGAAATAAGATAACGGCATCATATGTAATTACACGATTTTAAAATATTAACTAAAATCTTGAACTTGAGAAACAAAATTATTTTATATGCTAACATAACATAATAAAAATAAAAAATATATATAATTACAAAAATAATTATATATATATATATATATATATATAAACTAACATAACCAAGGTTATCTTACATTACCTAAGATTTTGAAGGGAATCACATTCCCTTCAAAATTCTATGTGGAGGGAATGTGACATTCCCTGGGAATGTTAGATTCCCTAAGATAATATGAACCAAACACCGGAATGTGAGCTTTGGAATGTCACATTCCCTTGGTTATGTTATATAACCTGAACCAAACGCCCCCTTAATGGTAATTTCTCATCTTTCATCCTATTTGGGATGATTCCTTCTCATCTTCTTTCTCTTATTAAGCTCCACGCAAAAATAGAGATCTTCATCCCTAAATCAATTTCAACCCTAAATAAATAAATATTTGCCTATAGTTTTTTTTTTTTAAAATAGCTTTTTTAGTTGGATTTGGGTGCACAGACATTAGAGAAGCAGTAGAGAAGTAGCAGAGAAGTAGTAGTAATGAACAATTACCATTAAGACCCTATTTCTAACCATTAACTAACATAATTTTTAACAAAGAACTAAATTGTGGAAAATCATCAAAGTCGATGACTAAATTGAGCATAAAAAGTCATTTAGAACTAAATTGAGTAAAATCACTATAGTCAAGGACTATATTGGGTATTAACTCTTTGGTTTTGGTAATGACAGAAATCTGCCAGCCAAATTTGAACAAGCTGTAGAAAGTATATTAGACGCCATAAACTCCGATAGATCCATTATATCTCTTCATTCCTGCACTCCAGATATCATATTATATTTCCATCATCAAAAGCAATCTTGATATGATATGATGCAGAAAATGGCAGCTTCTTGGCTTAACTGGAACATGGAATCCTACCCAGACTACCAAGATTTCTTCCTTCTTCCCTTCCTGCTTCTCTACTTCCCCACCCTACGTTTCATTCTCGACACTTCAATCTTCGAGGTATATTACCCACGCTCTTATACCAGTTGTTAGTTTAAGCACTTACCACTACGTCAAAAGTTATAGCTAGCTAGTAGCGAATTGAATGCACAATGTTAGACTTAGCCCTTTCGTCTCCGTCCAACAATCCCTTAACATCTAGTGCTGGATTTGGCCTTTCACCAGCCTCTGTCCAACAACCACCACAATTGCAAGGGATAAGGTGCTGGACTTGACTCATCAAGTTTCTGTCCAACAACACTGGAAATTATTGAATTTTCGACCACCTGAAAGTGATTCTAAATCAAGTCGAAAGTCTTGTTCCGACCACTTTTGGTATCCGGAAAAACCCTTGTTGGTATCCGGATATCAAAAGTGGTCGGAACAAGGCTTTCCACTTTATTTAAGATCACTTTCAGGTGGTCGGAAATTTCAGAATTTCCAGTAGTGCAATTTCCTAGCTATCTGGTGTTGGATTGGGCCATTCACCTGATTCCGCCCAACATTTACAAACTCTTTCAGAATATTTATATGTATATGATGTTGATAAGTGTACTAGTGTTGCAGAAAATGGGGAGAAGGATGATATTAGGGGCGAAACATGGCAATATGGAAATCAAGAAAGGCCCTAAGAGGAAGAAGATCGACAAGTTCAAAGAGTCTGCCTGGAAGTTCCTCCATTACTTTTCTTCAGAACTTTTTGCACTTTATGTTTGCTATGATGAACCATGGCTCACCAACGCAAAATACTTTTGGATGGGGCCCGGTGAGGGTGACCACCTTTGGCCAGATCACAAATACAAGTAAGCTTAACCTTTGTCTCGATCTTCTCAGTTAGTTAACTCATTCTTTTGGTGCAATATATATATATATATATATATATATGATGTGCAGGTTAAAGATGAAGGGATATTATATGTATGCTGGAGGGTTCTATATTTACTCCATTTTTGCATTGGTGTTTTGGGAAACAAGACGTTCTGATTTCGCAGCATCTATGGCTCATCACATAACAACAGCCTTCCTCATTCTCTCTTCTTATATTTTCAGGTATGTATATATACTGTATAGTACCTATTAAACTTATATATCTAACTAAAAAATAATGTGTGGTTTTGTGCAGGATTGGGAGGGTTGGTTCAATGGTTCTACTACTTCATGAAGGGTGTGATGTGTTTATGGAATTTGCAAAGATGTCTAGATACAGTGGCTTTTATGGCTTGTCCGACCTTTCTTTTCTTGGTTTTGTGCTATCATGGCTCATTGGCCGTCTAATCCTTTATCCCTTCTGGGTCCTCAAGAGCACAAGGTCTGTACATTCTCACCTCCCATGCTAATTCACTTAATTACAGTGTTGTAAAAATCCACCTAGGCACTGACTAGGCACTAGACACCCTTAGGCCGAGGCAATTTTAGCCTTAAGCGGCTTTTAATCAGTCGAGTCAGCTAACATTTGTGAGATTATAGTCTAACTTACAGTCCTGAATGGGAAAAAGTGGAGACGATATACTCAAATAACTTGACCATTTAGGTGACGCCTAGGCTAGGCGCACCTGAATGTCCCTAACCCCAACATTGCTTAATTACAAAGTAATATTTATGATAGTTGAAATTGAGCAGATGCTTCAATTTGCCCGTCATATTGAATTTATAATATATATATATATATATATATATATATATATATATATATATAGTGAAAGGTTCCCGTGCAGTTGAATGCTTCCCGTGCGGTTGTGCGGTTATTAATGTGCGTGAGATTTGTAGTGAGTGTTGTGTCTAATGTGCCTGAGATTTGTACTTAATGTGCGTGAATGTATAAAATGCAGCAGAAAATATGGTTATTAGCTTCTTCCCCATCCCCAGCACTGCTTCCCAAAGTGAATAGTGTGTTGCTCTGCTTTACTGATGTTTGCAATGAAATAAAAGCTTCCCAAAGTAAATGCACAAATTCTATCCTTATCAATGGTCTATGCAGACCGATCTTGGTGCGAGAATCTGGAACTTCTGTTGTTTGCTTCAATTCCATCATGTCAGATTTGTTTATTTATTTATTTATTAATTGATTTATTCTGCTATGGTGAAGGTGAGTATGGAGGACATAGAAAAACTAGTGGAAAGAAACAGAGAATTTTGATCTACTGGTGATTGGTCTGCAAGAGGTTCCTCGGATTAATGTTTCCAGATTGTTGAAAATTCTCTTATTACTCATGCACATTAAGCACAAATCTCACGCATATTAAGCACAATACCCTGACACATTAAGTACAAAACTCACGCATGTTACCATATTAACATGACGCACATTAAATACAAATCTCAAGCATATTGAGCATAACACTCACGCACATTAAGTATAAACCTCACGCACATTAATCCACCGCACAACCGCACGGGAAGCAACAAATGCATCCCTTCCCTATATATATATATATATATATATATATATATATATATATATATATATATATATATATATATATATATAGTTTTTCTAAGACAATGTTCAATGTTTTCTTAAAGATGTCTTCCGTTAATGTTTTTCTTTTCATTAACAATTAAGACTTCAAAACATTACAGCTACGATGTACTTTTCATCTTGGACATGGATAAGCATCGCACAGTTGTATACTACTTTCTGTGCAATGCTCTGCTGTTTGGCCTCATGCTTCTTAACATATACTGGTCGAAGTTGATCCTCCGAGTGCTCATTGGAAAAATCCGGAATGGTGAGATCAACGACGTTCGATCAGGTAAGAATACCCTGTTAATATGACCAGCACTTTGCCCTTTAATTGAGTCAGGCTAGTGCGAACAATTAAGGTCTATTCTAGACAACTCATGGTCTAACAAAAACAAAATCATATATTGTCTGGTTGCAGATTCTGAAAGCAATGATGAACACAACGACTGAAGATCAACAATGGCCTGGGATTGAAGAGAGGGAGTGTTGCAAAAAGATTTGAATTATATTTTGTTCTGTGAATGTTTAACATTCATCTTTAGATAAACATATAAAGATTACTTTGAAATGAGTCCATAAAGCTCTTCACTTGGCATTGTGGGTGGACTGAGGGAAACTTGACAAGATAAACAGTTCCCAGCAAGCAAACCAGATTAAAAAGAAGATAGTTTAGCAATCACTAACAAATGAAGCAGAGTACATTTCTAAGTACAAACATCAAAACCATAAAATTTCAAAACATAGATGATGTTAGCTCGCGAACTTCGGTCACAGCCTGATCATAATCTCCTTTCAATTTTTCTTGATCCTCCGGGCTGAGTTCTCCCTTAGCAGGCTTGGTTAACACCAATACGCAGCATGTTGGCCTTTTTGTAGCTCCTGCATTTGCAAGATCCTGAAACAAATTTTTTGGCAATTAGTATATGATATCTTCTTAAATAACAACAGAAACCAGAGCTCCCTATTTGTTATTGATATGAACTAGAGTGATGTGTGCAAGTTGCAAGAACAGAAGCTTCATCAAAAGCCAGTGTTGTAAAAATCGACCTAGGCGGCCGCCTAGGCGCCCCTAGGCCGAGGGGATTTCAGCCCTAGGTGCCTTCTAGTCGGCCGACTAGACGCCTGACTCGGCCAACTCAGCACCTAACTCAGCCGAGTCAATCAAGGAACTTTTTAACGCATCCTATATCATCATATGATAAGTTATGACAGCTAGGAGGAAGCCATAAGGTCCCTGCTGTTTTACCCTATGCAGGTGATGCGTGTCTATGCAACTCTAACAATCCAAAATGCCTTGGGAAATTTCCTGTTAAAAGTTAACCACCACGTGATATGTTCAATTTTTTGAAATGCTACAACACTCTTCAAAAACCATAATTCAAGTAATCACACAAATAGCGCTCGTAGTTAAACAATTTTACAAGTTCTCAAATCGTCTCTAGTACTACCATCAAATGCTCACATATACCACTAAAACTGGAATCATTGAAGTTAATGGCTTGCATTGGCCAGTAAAGGAACCAAAGACAATCACAATAGAAAGAGTATTAGATAAAGATGGGGTAAATCAGGCTTACTTCTTTTGACGAAACATAAACATATGGTATATCAGATTCTTCACATAGGATAGGAACATGGGTGATCACATCAATTGGAGATATGTTCCCAGCAATCACACAAAACCTGCAATCACAACGTTATAAAATTTAAAAATTTCAGTTTACAATATAAATAGCAGCACCCAGGATGTAGACTTTAATTGCAAGCTATTTAACTCTTATTAATACAGATACATGCTTTACTAATCACAAGCCAGAGAAAGTGTAAACTACCCCACTGAAATCCAGTTTTGTTTATCTTATTCATTAAACAGGTCCACAAGATAACGGATTTGGTTCCAACAATACTCATAGCAAAAGCAATAGCTTAAGATTAAGTTCATATATCTAATTGTTGTTGCAAACACAAAAATCAAATAAATAAATAAATCATTCATCAGCACAATCAAATTAAAATGAAAGTAAATAAATGAAAGGAATGAGGTTGAGCTAACCCTTTGTGGCCACGACGAATGCTTTTGACCACCTCCTTCACACCTCTCTTCAAGCACTTGAGCTCCGCAGCTAATATCCAACGTTGGAGAAAAAAATTAAATTGTGCCCCAAACAAAAAGAGTAAATTTGCATATACAGAGTCGGACTATGCATAAAGATGAATACAGATAGACGGTCACACCTCGTCGGACGAGTTTGAAAGTGCGCTTGCTGAGCTTTTTACCGGCTAAGGGTTTTGCAATAGGGGCGAGGGCCAAGACCTTCTTCTTCTCCCTCTCCTTTTGCGCAGTTTTCTCTGTTTCGCTGTCGCTTCCCATCTCTTTCTCTCTCTCTCTCTCTCTCTCTCTCTCTCTCTCTCTCTCTCTCTCTCTCTCTCTCTCTGTGGCAACGGAGCTAGGGTTTATGCGCGACCAGAGGTTCGATTTTTAGGGTTTAAGCCTTTAAGGTGGGTCGAAGATGGACCAAAATTGGGTCAATGTTTTGGAATCAGGTGAAAAGGCTTTATTGGCCCAGCAGTGATACCATGGCCCATGGGCAAACTATTGGAACGTTATGATGTGTAACTGTATGCACCATGCAAGGTGCACATAATTTTAATTCATAATTTTTATACGACTTAATACTCAAAATCGTTCTCGACTATAGTGGTTTTTCTCAATTTCGTCCTATACGACTTTAGTGACCTAATATCGTCCCAGACTTTTGTGTTTCGCTCAATTTAGTCCTCAATTTGTTATTTCGTCAAATTGGTGTTAAATAAAGGGACAATTCAGTAATGTCAATATTGATCTCTCTTTACTTTCAACTTGTAAAGTGCGAAATTCCTCTTTCTTGTACGAATTACACCCAGAATTACTCCCGGACCTGCAAATCAAATTTTATATTCGCAGTTTTAGGAGTAATTATGGGAGTAATTCATAAAAAAAAAAAAAGGATTTCGCAGTTCACATGTCTATGAGTAAAGAGATGCCAATATTAAAATTACTGAATTGTCTATTTATTTAACACCAACTAGACAAAATAACAAATGAGGGACTAAATTGAGCAAAAACACAAAAGTCTGGGACTAAATTGAGCGAAACACAAAAGTCTAGGATGATATTAGGTCATCAAAGTCGTTTAGGACGAAATTGAGAAAAATCACTATAGTCGAGGACGATTTTGGGTATTAGCTCATTTTTATACTATAGATTCATAATTTCTATATTATAAATTCATAATTTTTATACTATAGATTCATAATTTATATATTGTAGTTCATAAAATCTATATTATAGATTCATAATTTCTAAATCATAGATTCATAATTTAAATACAGTAGATTCATAATTTCTGTACAATAGATTCATAATTTCTATACTGCATATTCATAATATATGTACTGTAGATTCATAATTTCTAAACTGTATAGCTATTAAATTATGAACATAGAGTTTTGTAATTATGAATATAAAGTTAAAAAATTATGAATATATAGCTCTATAATTATGAACATATAGTTTAGTAATTATGAACATAGAACAGTGTGCACCAAGGTTGTACAACATAATTTGCACAAATTATTGTGTGGATTATGAATACAAAGTACATTTTTTATATACTAAAAGTATATAATTTGTGTACTAAATGTATATTATTTAATTTAATAATATATATATAATAATGTACTTTGTGTACACAAATAATTTATTTATGTACACAAATAATGTACTTTTATTATACTAAAAATTTACATTTTATTTATGGTCCACAGAGTTGAATAGACTATGGTCTATGTAATAATGTTTGTTATATCATGTACTGGGGTCTACCTTGCAATGTGGACCTGGGTTCAAAATACATAATTTACATATTAAATGTTTATAATTGTGAACGTTTAGTATGTAAATTGTGAACATTCAGCATGTAAAATTATAAACATTCATTATATAAATTGTGTATTTTTATATCCGAGTCCACAGAATAATTTACCTTTATTGGCTTGCGAAGTTATTCTCGAGTATGGACTAGGATTAACCTTGCAAGGTGGATCCTAGTCCTAAACGACGTATAAATTGTGTATGCTTTTTTTTTTTTTTTTTTTTTTACAACATAAATTGTGTATATTTACTATTAAAATTGTAAACTTCTAGAATATAAATTGTGTTTCTAAGTCAAAACACATAACATATGTAGAAGAGAATTTGTAAATACAATACAAGATGTGTGACTGCAGTATTTGAAAGGAACTTGTTAATACAAAACAAGATAATCAATTACATATGTGTTAACGTTATGTGTTCATAACATACAAAATTGTGAATTTTTAAAAGGTAAATTGTGAACATTTGAACCCAGATCTACATAATAATTTGCCCCATGGACCGGGGAACCCTGATCTTAAACAACGTATAAATTGTGTTATTTTAGTATTGAAATTGTAAACTTCTAGAATATAAATGGATTAATATTTGATGCACCGCCGAGGTATTGGGATTGTAAACTTCTAGAATATAAATGGATTAATATTTTATGCACCGCCGATGTATAGATGCTATACACCATTTGTGGTCCTTCGACTTTCCAATTTAACCATTCGTGATCCAAGTTAACCACCCATGGTCCTTCAACTTTCAATATTTAACCACTCGTGGTCCTCTTGAAAGGACTATAGTTGGTTAAATTTTGAAAGTTGGAGGACCATGAGTAGTTAACTTGGACCACGAATGGTTAAATTTGAAAGTCGAAGGACCACAAATGGTCAATTTGAAAGTTTAGGACTAAACGTGGCAAAACCACTATACTCGGAGGACCTCATATGGTAATAACTCAAAAGTCTTCATCTTCCATTTGTGAAAATCTTCTCCATGAAATTTTGTTGTCCAAAAACTTGGTGAAGACCCGGATGCCCTTAGAGTTCTACTACATGTACTTTATATATATTTTTTTGAAATGTACTTTATATTTTTATATGTACTACTACTCTTTGGTGTGTCAATTGATGATTAGTTATCTTTATGTTGTGGTCCCAATGAAAGTGTCAACATCAAAATTGTGTGTGAGAGAGAGTAAGGGGCATTTGGATGGAGGGAGGAAATTGCGTGTAAAAGGAATTGCAATTTCATGGAGGATGAATTACTAGGAATAAAGTCGAATTTTAATTTCAGTATTTGGTTTACATGAATAGAATTATGAAAATTTTAATTCCAATGTTTGGTATACATGAAAATTTAAAGGGAATATGTAGTATAAAGTCTAAAATGCTCATACTTATTATTATTACTAGTTTTTTTACGCGCTTTGCGCGAATGGGATAATGCCCAATGATTATTTTTAAATAAGTATTTCAAAGTATATCAACGCAATATTATATCGGGGATGTTCATGCATATGTAAATAAATATTGGATTTGTTTCTTTAAATCGGTAATTCAAAATATATAAATGTAATATAATATTTATTGAATTTTCTAATCGATATTTGGTAGTGGTAATTTTCCCCTACATGTTTCATGCATTGTGAGATGTGTGTCGTAGGTTATCATGTGAAAGTATTGAACAAAATATTAATATTTATTATATTTGTATAAAATACTTGGCAAATAAATATATATAATGTAGAGTAAATACCCAAAATGGTCCCTCAACTATAGCTAAATTCACAAATTGGTCATCGACTTTTAATTTTAACTAATTAAGTCCTTAACTTTGCAATTTTAACACGATTTGGTCCTTCGAACACTTCTGCATTAACGTCGGCGCCCGCGCCATCATCGACGATCTCCAGAAGAACCCACAGCTCTCACGGGAGCACATGAAGGCCTCCAGGATGACGCTGCACCGATTCGGAAACACGTTGTCTTCTTCACTCTGGTACGAACTCAACTACATTGAATCCAAAGAGAGGATGAAGAAAGGCGACAGGATTTGGTAGATTGCTTTCGGCGGTGGATTCAAATGTAACAGTGCGGTCTGAAAATGCAACCGGAACCTTAAAAAATCGACGATGGACCATGAAATTACAGATATATCCTCAAAAATCACAGTCAACAAACGGTCAAATATACGGAGGACCAAATTGTGTTAAAATTGCAAAGTTAAGGACATAATTGGTTAAAATTGAAAGTCAATGACCAATTTGTGAATTTAGCTATAGTCGAGGGACCATTTTGGGTATTTACTCTATAATGTATTTTGTATTATAACTTTGATATTTAATTACAAGATAATGTAAAAAGAAGACAATGGACAATGCAGTGAATATAATAAATTAATAAATTTGAAGGTGAATCTTTGAATTGTAGAAAATAAAGATAATATAACTAATGAAATTATATCTATTTTTAAATTTTTTATAATGAATAATTTTTTTTTTAAATAAAGGCATTATAGACATCTAATTCTAAATTAATTAAATGCATATGTATTATTTTTTGTTGTAGCTACTACTTTATTTAGTTTAAGAGCAATAAAGTGGGCAAATTATGCTATGGAACCGTGTCCACCTTGCAAGGTGGACATGCATATGTAAATAAATATTGAATTTCTTTATTTACATCGGTAATTCAAAATATATAAATGCAAGATAATATTTATTGAATTTTCTAATCGATATTTGATAGTTTTTCCCTACATGTTTCATGCATTGTGAGATGTGTGTCGTAGGTTATTATGCGAAAGTATTGAACAAAATATTAATATTTATTATATTTGTATAAAATACTTGGTAAACAAATATATATAATGTATTTTGTATTATAACTTTGATATTTAATTACAAGATAATGTAAAAAGAAGACAATGGACAATGCAGTGAATATAATAAATTGATAAATTTGAAGGTAATGAATCTTTGAATTGTAGAAAATAAAGATAATATAACTAATGAAATTATATCTATTTTTAAATTTGTTATAATGAATAATTTTTTTTAAATAAAGTCATTATAGACATCTAATTCAAAATTAATTAAATGGATATGTATTATTTTTTGTTGTAGCTACTACTTTGTTTAGTTTAATAAGAGTAATAAAGTGGCGTATATACTTTTCATCAACAATAATGCAATCATTGATTTTAAAAAAAAAATACATACAAAAAATATTAATGCAAAAGTATAATTGAAATATTAAGTTTTTTTCTAATCTAAATAATGAAAAGAATATTAAGTTTTTTTTCTGATCAAATGATTTTTAAAGTTCTTGATTTATAATCTTTGATGCTTAACTATGAATGTTATGTATTTAGTCAGACTAATTATTTGAACAAAGTTTATGTTAAATTTTATGTTATATATATTTTAAATATATTTTAACATATTCGTAGTATATGTTTTAACAATTATGCCAACTCTAATTAGGATGTGGTTCGAAACTAAGACTTTTCTTATAGAAATTAATGTGTAAGTTAAAATAATAAATACTTAACGGAATATTCCGTTACTAAAGTTTATGCTAACGAAATTTAAGTTATTTAAGGGAAGAAATTAATATAATAGAGGGTAAATAAGGAAAATCAATAAAAAATACTAAAATAAAAATAATATAAACCATTCATTTTAAGAAACAATAGTATAACATGAACCATTCATTTTAAGAAACAATAGGACTGACATTTTTTTGTTCCAGTTAAGGGCCTAACATTATTGGCTCTTATTAGAATCGTAGATGTAGATTATTATTATTATTATTATTATTATTATTATTATTATTATTATTAATCCTAAATGACCAAATTCAAATTTTACTTTTGAAAATTTATGTAACAAGCTATAAATAAACTCTAAAATTATATAATGAAAACAATAAAATAGATAAGGTAGTTTTGAGAACACATATTTGATTGAGATTGACTTATTGATTAACGTTCTGCACTAAAAGCAGAAGAAAAAAATAATCGAAAAAGATGGATCAAACAAAATCCATGGCCACAAATTTGAGCCTCTAAAAAATAACGAATCTACACAAATTTGAGCCTCTTAATACTTAGATCAAGTAACTCGCAAGACTAATTGAGATTTTTATTATATGTATGTATGTAACTCGCAAGACTAATTGAGATTTTTATTATATGTATGTATGTATTACAAATTTAGTTAATATATTTTATGTGATTATAATTAAGATATAATATTGAGTTTTGTTATCATGTTCAAATGTAAAATGTTTATATTATTTTTGTATAAAAAATAGAAAGGAAAAAAAAAAAAAAAAAAAGCATTGACCATATTCAAGTCGAGCTTGAGATTTGATTTTTCAAATTGAGTCAAGTTTTGATCTTTAAGTATTCATGTTCATCATGATTAGATTATATCCCTAGTCAAACCAGTTTGGTTATGAAATGTGGAAAAAATAAGGTAATATATGATAAAAATGCCCCTTATTTTCTTTTATGGCAAAAAGGCATTATAGATAAAGACATTGTAAAATCATTCTATTATTTTGTCCAGGGTATTTTCCAAAATACATATATTTCAGAAGACATATTTCAAACCAAAAAAAAAAAAAAAAAAAAAAAAAAAAAAAAAAACACCAATTCTAACTAGTATTTAACACTCCATTCCCTATAGATCTCAACACTCTAAAACACAATATACTAGCAATTATATCTCAAGAAATCCTAGTACCTAAAGTGTTACAGAGTACTTAATAATACTGAATTGTGCAAAACTGCTAATCATTCAAAAGGTCACACATAGAAGAACAGATAAACATTGCTTACATGTTATAATAGCAGAGCATTGTAATCCTGTACAGTTGGTCCCAATAAAGACTTGCTAAAGATCATTTGGTCATTATGTTGTCTAGAAATTGGTGAAGGTCATCAAGTTCTGCATTGAGCAGACCTACAAAGCAAATGCAGATTTTAATACAAATGTTATAAGTAAACATCGCATATATCAGAGCCAAAGAGGAGTGAAGATAAACTTGCCAGAATGGTCATGGCCACCATGATAATTCAGCCTAAGCACATCCCCATCCAGTTTGCGAATCTTCTCTGCTCTCGAACGCTCAATCTCTTTAAACGCTCTATTTTTATGATTCTCCAAACTTGACCGAAACTCTGATGCAGTTTTTACCAGCTCTAGAAGAACACACATTCAAGATTTATAGTTAAAATATTAATTGGGCTCACACTGTTAAAGAACTCAGATATATTTGCAAATATTCAAATAGTTTTCCCTTCAATGGATCCTAAAAAATTGCAAATCAGCTAAAATTCATATTAAAGAATTGCACTGGAGAAATCTGTACTAGATGAGCAACCTGATAAAGTGAAATGATTTTAACATACTCATCAACACAAATCATAAATGATAACAAATCATAAACTAGCAATACAGATTCAACTCAAATTAGTAATTATTAGCGATTCATTCAAGATCAACTGCTCTTTAAAAATTAAAAAAACTGACACCTACAATCTTCAAAATGTGCACTGGAAGGCATCAATGTGCATTGGAAGGCACAAAGATGTGAAGCAATTATTGAAAAGACTAAATTCAATACACGATCTTCACACACAAGTCATAAACAACCATAAATAATAAACGAGCAATATAAGATTCAACTCAAATTAGTAATTAGTGATTCAAAACAAATCATAAACTACTAATTGCTTACTGTATTAGCCCAAAATTGTGCACTGGAAGGCAATAATGTGCACTACAAGGCATGACAATATGCACTCAAAGGGAGAAACTGTGTGCTCTAGAAGAGACAACAATGTGCACTCGAAGAAAGAAAAATGTGCACTCGAAGAAGGAAAAAAATGCACCAAAAGACAAAAAAAATTATCTTACATACACAAAATTACCATAATGCCACTGCATTTTTTTTAATTGTCTTCATTTTGGACCCTTGATCTGGACTAGATCAGTGGATGATATTAAACCCTATTTTTACCTAAGGGATGCTTCGCATTTGATCCGTAAGCAATATATATATATATAGGAGAGGGTTCAGGTGAGAACAAGCTCCCAAGTAAAGTGAAGACTAATCTAATCCATCCATTTGGGTAGATGTTGATGAAAAATAAAGGAAAAAAGGACAGAGTTAGTTTTATAAATTTTTCAAACTTCAAAGTTTGCAATAGTTATAAAATTGACCCTATATTGTTTTTACTAAAACTTTCAACCATTGATGAACCCTGATGGGCAAATCAGTCCTCTGTTGTTCTCAGCCCACTCCTATATATATAAACAGATGGGAATTATAAAAGCTGATGAATCAGTATTTGCCTCAAAGCTTTCAATACAAGGAGAAAAAAATTGAAAACTTTCTATGCTGGTTCTATAGTATGTATGTCATACTATAAAATTCAAACACTTCCCCATTAGACATTAAATAGCAAGTTGCAAATTGAACAAGCTGTCCATATCTTGTGAACCTTAAATTAGTACAGCCCTCCAGTGGAAGAGATGAGAACAGTAGTGAATTGTTGATGCACTAAAACTATAAGACAAAAGGTTTGACCAAAATAAACCTAACACATAAATACAACTCCATAGTTACAGCTCCATGATGGATTGCAATAAATAAATAGCAAAGATGCATTCAATTGAACAGCTGACCAAAATAAAATCTCTAATCTAAGTGCATTTGATGAAACAATTGATGAAAAAGCATTTACCTTCAAACTTCTCTTGCACAAGCTGTTCATTATAAAACTGCAATGCTTCATTAAGAGATGCCACAGAGTGATTGCTCATGCGGGACTGCCTTTCCAGTGCTCGAAGTTCTCTGTTGAGGTCAGCAGACTCTTTACCTACCTGAGTAGATGAAGTACACATGCCACAGAAAAATACTAAATGAGACAAAAAAAATTATAAGTTAATTATACTCTTAAAACATCATATATCCTATACCTGAGTAAGTTTATTTCTCAAAGAATCCAACTGCGCATCTAATTCTGCATCACCAAGACTGTCAAGATCCAAGGAAGTATCACCAGATGGTTCATCCTAGAGAACAGCATCCAATAGGACTTTAAGCCATTAATAAGTATTAAAAAAAAAAAAAAAAAAAAAAAAAAAAAAAGAGCTATCAGGTAAGTGACAAGCTGAATTCCAATTCCTAAGCCTACCTAAGAAGCAAAACTTTAATCTTTCGTTTCAGTTTATCACATACACCTTTGGGCAGATGAGTTAAACTATCAAATAAGATACACAAAGGATAGTGAAAACTGTTCACATCTAGAGACATTCCAAAAATTTGAAGACTTAATATTCAAACTTTGGACAGATGAATTATTAATTCCGTGATTAATGAATATTCAAACTTCGAAGGAATCGAAGCAATCTAAGTTTTACAGCATAGTTAACTACGTGTAATGATGCCCCTAATCCTAAAGAGCACTAAACAGAAAATTATTAAACAAATAAATGAAGTACAATGATGCTAATTCAAATAGGAGAAAGCCCAAAAGGTTAATACAGTATAAGATTTGAATCAAACCCATTGAATTTGGAAAACCTACAGCTTTAGGCAAAGAGAATCCTTCTGGCACAGTAAAACAGTGCCGCAAACAGTACTTCTCCCACATACTCAACCGCTTGTCCAGAGCCAATTGAACCATGTTCCGTATATAAGCTACGCCCTACAAAATCCGAAGATAAAAAATTGAAAACAAAATAGTTTCTAAAAAAAAAAAAAAAACGTATAATATTTTCTGTCCGTAGGACCGTAACCCTAAGCGAAGCCACCAGTTATTCGACATATCGGCAATAGAATGAACTCTTAATTTGTGCGAACGGCGAATTGGAAGTCTCAAATACTGAATCATGCTAACCTTTTTTAGATCATCGGATCGATCAGTCCCCTCGGTTTTCAGAATAACCGCTGCCTCCCTACATAAAACAAAAAAAATTCAAAAAATACCGTTCTCGATTAGAAGTTATGCCTAATATATATACAGACGAGCAGTTATACAGAGAAATAGAGAGGGAGAGAGAGGACTCATACTGCTGGAAGAAATCAAAGGCTTCGTCGACGAGGTCGTCGACGGAATTGATAACCTCGTTGATGAATAACTGAGGGTTTAGGTTGAAGGAATCGAAGATCTTCTCACTCTCGCTGCCTTCCATTTCGCACGATTTTCTTCGTTCTTTTCAAAATGTTGACTGCTGAGAGCTTTGATACACTGAAGTTCGAATTTTGAATTTGGGGGTTATGCTTCCATTATTATTCGGTGTTTCCCGCCAAATGGGTATTTGTAATTGGAAAAATGTTATGTATACTTTATTTTTTCCTTTCCCTTTTTATTTTTGGACATTTGTATTGGGACCCACATCAAAAGTATCTTATCATAGTCTGTAGAGTAAAAATTGAGAAAGTAAGATTTGAGAACATATACAGTAAAAGTGTAAAACTTTTGTAATTGTGGCTCTGTAAACTCGAAAATGAGCAGATTTGTTGGCTTCAATTTTCATCCTAAGCATAGTGTATAACATTTTGGTCCTTTAATTGTTTTTTTACTGTCAATGTAGTCTTTAGTTTTAAATTTCAACCAATTTGATTCTGGAATTGTTTAAAATTTCCTTAATGGAGAGAAATGAATTTTTTAACAAATCCATTAACATAAAGCATTATTATTAAAATCTGAATGCATTCGCTTAACATTACACAACATTAATGCACAGACAGTTGAATTAACCGTTTCATTACTACGCTGTGCAATTTACAAAAACAGTTACATTGTAACCATCCTCTCCACCCTTCATATCACTACACATCTCCATCGATCTTCTCTGATCAATTTCAACTCTCTCCAAATGGTCCGTTTAAGCAACCCAATAATCACAACCCTCAACGTCCTCACCCTCCTCATCTCCCTCGCCGCCATATCTTTCGCGGCATGGCTGCACTTGAACTCCGGCGCCGCCACGCCCTGCGCCAGGGGCCTCCAGAGGCCGGTCCTCGTCCTCGGGGCGTCGCTGCTCGCGGTGTCGCTGGTGGGGCTGGCGGGGTCGTGGCGCCGGGTTTCGGCGCTGCTGTGGGCGTACTTGGCGCTGCTGTTGGTGTTCATCCTGGCCATGATTTGCTTCACGGTGTTCACCATAGCCGTGACGAATAGGAGTGTGGGGAGGGCTTTGTCTTGGAAAGGGTATAATGAGGCGAGGCTTGGGGATTACTCGCACTGGTTGGGGAAGTATGTGGTGAATGCTGAGAACTGGGATGAGATTAAGAGTTGTTTGGTTGAGATTAACTTCTGCCGGAATCTTGCCGAGGATAGAGGCCCCCGGTTTTACAAAAATAGCGTCGCCGTCACTCAGGTCGTTTACGTATACACACCTACATTGCATTGCATATTTGCATGCACATTTGCTTTAATTTATTTGACTTTTGCTAGAAATTTTACAAAGGAAAAAAGTCCAAAATTTTTCTACTACAATGGGTTTCTAGTCCTAGGAAAAAGGAGTAATACAGACTAACAAAAAGATGGTAGCAAACTTTTGGTGGTTTTTGTCAAGCTAGATGTGCAAGGAGAGAAAAAATAAAAAAGTACAAAGAATAAGCAACTATGTGGAGAATGCTTTATTTGACTTTTTATTGGGACCCATAAAGATCCTTGATTTAGAGAGAAAAAATCAAAGAAAAATCAAGCTCTCCATTTGTCAAAAATCAATCCATGATTTTTTTCTTTCTGACAAAAATCAACAAAAAAAACCAAAATGGGATGCTCTTAGACTCGATTCCTTTTACATGTTTCGAGTATGGCAAACTGCATGTCCGGATTGTAGACATTTCGTAGAATGAAATTGCAATTTCATTTTCTAATAGCAATTCCTTCCAATCATGAAGTTACATTTCTAAGCCCTCCAAAATTGCAATTCTAAACCGACAAAATTGATATTCCACAGCAAATAACAACTTTGCCCTCTTCTTATTATTATTATCAAAGATATTTTAGTCTTTATTTACTTCTTCCATTTCAATTCTCAGTAATTCTATTCATGTCTACCAAACAATGGAATAACGTCTCGATATTGTTTCGCCAAATGTGACAATAATTTCTTTTTTTTTTTTAAACAAAAATAACGAAAAATAGATCAATTTTTACGATTAATTTTTCTTTTTCGTTTATGTTTTGGCAGTGGGGTTGTTGCAGGCCTCCAATAGATTGTGGGTTCAAACCTCACAACGCAACATACTGGACAAGGCCTCCGAAAGGGGGGCGACCGGAAGAGGAGGACCCGAAGTGCAAGAAATGGAGTAACATTCAGACACAGCTGTGTTTCGACTGCGAATCATGCAAGAAGGCAGTGCTGTATAACATCCAGAAAGAGTGGAAGAAACTGGCGATTATCAACACCAGCATCCTCGTTGTTGTTGTCGTTGTCTACTCTGTTGGCTGCTGTGCTCTAAGGAGTAACAGAGCAAAACAGAACCAAAAAGCTCCAAGTCCGACTTAGTACTCTATTGTTTGTCAATACCTGTTAAGACATTCTATTGAATCCAGTGTTACATTAATCATTGTTAATACTACTGAATCAGTGTTACAAAAAAACACCTATAAACATCAAGGATGGGATCTTCAAAGTTCAAGCAGGCAGCAATATAGATTTGGGTTGAGAATTTTTATTTTTTTAATTATCAATCATTTAATCCAATGCAAGAACAAATACATTGTTGTAAACTGAAACTAGTAACTCATAATACGACAGGAGGTTTGGCTCTTATGTTACTTGAGGAAAGTGCAAGCAAGAAACAGAAAAACGTAAGCTACCAGTGATGTTAGCAGTTCAAGTGTCCAAGTTGGTTGTAGCAGAAATGATGGAATTGTGGGAACCAAAATGGAACCAGAAATCCAGCCAACTACGAGGGCACCGAATCTGAAATACAGAAAGTAGGCTATTATTAGGTAGGTTATTGATAATAATGAGAAGTTTCAGACATTGGAGAATTTCGGAAATGGAATTTGTATGCCTCTCAAACTTACCCGATGATGGCAGCTCTAGCTAGGCTCTTTGTCTTGTCGTTGAGGAAGTATATGCAAGCTGCCAAAGATAATGCTACCTGGATATGGCACAAGAATAGTGAACATGAGCATACTACTATAGAAGTATGTCACAAGGAAATGTTTTAAGTTCTAAGGTTCAACATCACCATGTATATAAAGCTTATGAAAAATATCCATCTAAGAAAGACGCCAACTCTCACATCCAAAAGAGTGTTATGGTCTGTGTGCAAGCTACAGGAGAGAATTGCATTGCTTTGGTACAAAACATCATCTCAACTGAAATTACAATTTACAGTCCCTGCCTAAGAGACAAGGATCATGCCAGCATTTTAACAAAATAAAATCCTTTAGACAATCAGAAATCTAATATAACTTTGGATATTTTGATTCTCCATTTCATTTGATCTTTAACAATAAAAGCGACAACACGCCTAAACTAGACAAACTTTATTGCATTTTCTATTCACATTAACACTATAAACTAATCACCAGTCACCACCAACACAAAACTCGCACTGCAATCAGAAAGGAACGGTAGTAAAAACAGTACTTCAGTGGAGTACAACTATGACGGTCATGGTTACATGCCCAAATAAACATTTACGAGCTGTTTGGTTGGAGGTAGTTTAGGTGTAGTTGAATTGTAATTCCGCGGAGACCACAATTACGCCATTTGGTTGGAGGGAATTGCAATTCCCTCCATTTGCTGAATTACAATTCATGACTCCTCCCCTATGAATTGTAATTCAGCACTGAAATGGAAAGAAGAAGCTACTGTTATGACATTTATGCCCTTCTACTATTACAATATCTCATCAGCTCCCATCCACTCATCTCTCATCTGTACACTACGTTTCTGGTTGGCAAAATAATAATAATAATAATAATAATAATAATAATAATAATAATAATAATAATAATAATAATAATAATATTATTATTATTATTATTATTATTATTATTATTATTATTATTATTATTATTATTATTATTATTAGTACATAAGGGCATTTTAATCATTGTATCACTTATTCTCTTTCAATTCCCTGTAATCCTATTCTTGCATACCAAACACTGTAATATAAATTCCTACTTAATTCCCACCTTATTCTTTTCCCACCGAATTACAATTCATTTCCCCCTTAATTCCTTCCTTCCAACCAAACGGCCTGTTAGTTTATTCAATGTGAAAATTTTGTATTTTTAAAGTGAACATTTCTTCAAATTGTAAGTGAACAATCAATTCAATGGATGTGAATATTTCCTGAGGGACACACTATGGCACACCATTAAAGTCAACAATCAGCACTCTAAGCATGAGCACACGCAGGATAATTTGTAAGACTCAAGAGCACCGAAAGCAAGCTTAGCAACAACTCCAACAAGAATGTTGCAAAAACTAGCATTCATACCCTAAATCATGCAGCATCATACTTTATAGTTAAGTTCCAAAGCTAGCCATTTAATAGTATTATCTTATTTAGAAATTAAGTTGCAAGTTACATCCTAAATTCACAAGTTTTCTGGTAGGGAGAGCATAACACAAAAGAAGGCCCTGCAGCAAAAAATTAGTATGCCAACTGCCAAGCTCAAGTGGCTACTGTTGTAAATGAAACAGGAAATGCAACACAAACCTGGAAAGCAGGTCCAGCTTCAGCAGCATTCATTACACTCCAGACTGCCATGAATCCAAACAGGAATAATCTTCTTAAAATAATAACACCAGGAGGCATTTCCACAAAACTGAGCAGGTTCTTGACCCATGGTGGAGACTCTTCGACTTTCTTTTTTAGTCTTGTCTTCAAGTTAATCTTTGTCTTCTTTCTATTCTGGTAGCTTGCCATCAGTATTTTTTCAAAAGCAGCTTCTATGGATTCCATACTTCTCTCATGACCAGAATATTGATCTAACAAAAAATTGCGAGCACCCCACACTTCTTCCTCAGAAGCATCACGAGTTATACCAAGGCGCTTATAAGGATCCCAAACATTAACCCGAGAAAATTTAGGAATGTTGCCTATAGAAATCCGAAAAAAAAAAAAAAAAGTCAGTCCTTAGATGAGTAATTGCAGTACAGAAGAGGAACGGTAAACAGGAGAAGCTGATTCTAAAATGAAAAAACAGACACATTATTCCAGTTCATATATCTTAGTATCAGAATTTTCATATAGCTTCCATTTAACTTTTGGGGTTTTCCTCTTCAGTAATCCTGGAAAGTACAAAAGTCGTGATAGAAGTAAGGCAATCAATGCTTATAGGGAAAATAACTTGACACTTAATTTCCAGTGGTGCATAACAGCTAAAGCTGAAGAGGAATACTAGAAAAGTAGCAAGAAGAATAGCCAAACTTTCTGCTCAACCAATTATTGACCAAGTAAACCAAACATTACATAGATACCCAGTTAATTGCATTCCTTAATTCTGCGAATGATGCTTGAAATATAAGCTAACAGGAATTCTGGCAAATGAAAGTAAACTCTTCCTAACTTTCATCTGCTGCCTTTTGTCAATGTATTGCAAGTGCATTTCTTCATTAACCACAAAGAGAAACCAATCAATCCCCCAGCACCCCTTGTTTCCTCATGTTGCCCTATTACTTCAACCAAACATCTTCAGAACTATAACTATAAAGAGGCATTTCCTCATGTTGTCCATCCTCCTTTTCGCTTTTCGTTGTAATTTTTAATTCATCAACTAAATATTGAGCATAATTTAAACTAAATTATTCTTAAAAAAAAAAAAAAAAAAAAAAAAAAAGCTGAAGGTAGAAAAGAAAACAAAAATGAAACTTGCTTTTAAGAAGCGGATAAAAGTTTGTTACCTCCAAAAGCTGTATCGACCGCACACCTCGGGACCATGAGGCTCAACCCACGCGACTGAGACCTCTTCGAGGGAATCCACCCACACTGCGGGGAACTCTTCGAATTTCCTCTATTCCATCTGCAATAAGAAGGGAAGGAGAATTAAGAATACAGAAATTTGAAGCTTTTGAAATAGGTGAAAAGGCGTGAACTTACAATTGCTGGCCGAGGAAGATAGAGGAAAGCGTAGGCTTGGAGAGTAGAGTTGCCGCCATGAGAATTCTCCTCTGCGATTATAAGTGATTTTACCAGTAAAAACCCTAAATTCGAGTCAATTGAGAAAGAGAGAGGGAGAGAGAGAGAGGATAGTATACCGTGTCTCCCCAAACGGGGCTTGGCGGTACCGGTAGGCGACTAGCCGAGAAGAGGATGAGAAGCAACGCTGCTGAGCTTTTGTATGGTATATCGTCCCTACCAATGAACTGATAATTGCTATATTGCGCAGAGGGTACAGTGCGACTCAGTTGTCCCTTGTGTATTTACACTGATGCCCGTTACCAACTCCCTCAACTTATTCGTATTTCCTTTTATGCCCAATCCCAACGAAAAAAAATTCTTTAAATTTCAGAAAAATTGAATTTTTTTCTGTTTAGTTCATGGAAAACGTTTTCCTTAGCTCACCCTTGATATAGAAGAGTTACTTAAGCTAGCATATTTTACCACCTCTTTGAGTCGAGAAGTCAATAGTATACAACTTCCATTATTATCATCTGCAGAGCATCTTCACAGAATGTCCAAAACATTAGAGTTATCATCTATCACCATTAATATGTATAATCCTTCAAGTGTTTGCGCATAATTTTTGCTAATTGGACTTGATCGTTGCATTGTTCACCACTAGTTGATGCATTAACACAAACAATTAGGTATCTAGGAATTTACCTCACATTATACTTTTGAGATACAGTAACACATGCTCACTTGTAAAAATGAGAAGTAATTGATAAATTCTTATAGATTTTCTGAGTTAAAGTGGTTTTGCTTATTCCTCACATGCCAACTATTGATACAACTTGTAGCCGTTTAGCAGATTGTTGCCTGAGCTTGTCCATTATCACTCTGAACTCCTTGTCACATGACTTACATCCGACCATCTCGACGTGATTTGGCTCATACTGTTAGCCAAGTCAATAAGTAGATATCTAAACCTTGGAATGCAGTAGACATGTTGACAAAGGCATGGGGCAACGATATAGTACATGGGCTTTTTTTTTTGTACATGTACATATTTAGTATTGCATATAAATATGATGTTTGTAACCCTAGATGTTTTATCATCACCATCACAATTAATAAAAGAACAGTTTTGCTTCGTAGATGTAGGCACTTTGCCAAATCATGTAAATATTATCTTCTTTATTTTCTGTCATTGTTATTAATTATTGTTCTCATTAATCCTAACAAGTGGTATCAGAGTTAGGTCACAGGTTTGAGTACCATCAAGAATAAACTGTTCAATTAAGATTGGTAAGTGCTTGGATTGGGGGAGAAATTGTTAAGCGGAAGCTGGTGAAGCGCCAAGTCTAACACCAAGTGGTTAAAGGGATTGTTGGGCATAGGCCTGAAGGACTAAGTCCAACATCATGCCTCTCGAAAATGTGGTAGTATAAGAAAATAAAGTTACATCTTCCCTAATGGTTATAGCTTTAGGGGTAGTGGTAAGCACTGATCATAACAATTCTCACACTCTAGATCATGTTGTGATGATGTTGAACCAATGAGTGAAACGTCAATTATTCTTTCATTTTGCGATGAGCCCTTTGCAATCTAGTATTTACTTTTACGAGGATGAATTCAATCATAACTTTTGTAAACTTTTAAAACGATAGATTTTATAAGGATGTATTCAATTTAGAATAAGTTAATATCCAATTTAGTCCTCCGATCGTTTTTCTTAATTAACTCAATTTAGAATTGTAATGACTTGACACCCTTGTAAATTTAAGGGGTGCATTCAATCTGGATTTGTAGACTTTAAAAATATGACGGTATTCGATTTAAATTTTTAAATAATTTTTAAAAGTCTAGTGACATTTGATTCAAACTTTTAAAAAGATTTTTTTTTAAAGTTTGCTAAATTTTGACTTTTGTAAGCTTTTTGTTCTCAATTATAAATAGTTGGAATATATTATTCAGATCACAAGCTTCTAAATTTTCTCTACAAATTTTTTATCCCAAGATATCTAAACAAAGCAAACTTTTGATCTATGCCAAAATTTACTACATGTTTCATAACATACTTGTATGTTTTGATTTTGATTTTTTATATTTATACTTGTAAAATATACTTTTCTATTTATTTAACTGCAGGCTATTGAATTTTCTCTACAAATGTTTTCTTCTTAAATATCTAAACAAAACAAACTTTCTATCTATCACTGTCAAAATTTACATGTTTCATAACATTCGTAAATATTTGTATGTTTTTGTTTTTATTTTTATTTTATATATTTATACTTGTAAAATGTTTTTTTGTTTCCATTTTTTTAACGGCAGACTACTACATACAAACAACATCAAGTTTAATAAAGTTGTGAAATTTTTAATTAAACACTTAAAAACTATCAATTTACAATTCACTTAGATTTAAAAACTCAATAACTTTATATTTTAATAACCACTAGAAATTAAATAGTTGTGATTTAATAAATAAAAAAATTGTAAAAAAAAAAAAAAAAAAAAAAAAAAAAAAAAACTGGATTGTTCTTAAACTTCTGTGGTTACTGATTAAGATATTATTATGTACGGAGTAATTTATATTTAGCTTGTTTGTTAATTATAAAACTAGACTAGACTAATAATTGTGAATGAATCCACAATTTCAGTTAATCAGATAAATATTCTACCCAAAAATTTAGTGCACATAGAATCATAAACAAACTGCCGAACTGGAGTACTATCCAAAGCTTAGACAGCAAAGGAAAAAGGGGGCGTTCCGAGAATCGAACTCGGGACCTCTCGCACCCAAAGCGAGAATCATACCACTAGACCAAACGCCCTTCTGTTTCCGAAACGAGCTTTTTAAATATTATTCTATTAAAATTGGAGTACTATCCAAAGCTTAAAACGCTAAGGTAAAACGGGGCGTTCCGAGAATCGAACTCGGGACCTCTCGCACCCAAAGCGAGAATCATACCACTAGACCAAACGCCCATCTGTTTTCTAATCGAGCTCTTTAAATATTATTCCGTATTAAAATTGGAGTACTATCCAAAGCTTAAAACGCGAAGGAAAACGAGGCGTTCCAAGAAACAAACTCGGGACCTCTCGCACCGAAAACAAAAATCATACCACTAGACCAAACGCCCACCTATGGCTTAAGTGACCTCTTCATAAATATTATCGAATGTGTTTTCTTATTGTAATTGATATCAAAACTCATGAAAGCTTTGCCAAATTATTATTATTTAAAAAAAAAAAACTACTACTAAACTACCTAACTTTAGTTTTACCAAAAATAGTGTTGTGTGTAATATATAAGTTTTAGTATGTATATTCTCAAATTCTACTCATTAGGGTGTGTTTGGTTGGTGGGTTTTGCACATAGGAATGAGTATGAAAGTGATTGTTGTTGTTTGGTTGATAGGTTTTTAGAACACTACTATGGGTTTCGAATACCCCATCAATTGAAAAACCCATACCCAAATACAATAAGGGTTTCATTCCCTTATTCATTTTCAAGCACTACTATTAGTAACCATTCCCATTCCACCCTACTACCAAACATGTTAAATACTTTCACCAAAATCCATTACCATTACCAAGTATTTGATACCCATTCCAATTCCGATTCCTATGTGCGAACCAAACACACCCTAAATTTTATCTCTTGATGTGACAAATAATAATAGACTATTTTCATCATGTGAGTTTCTAAAAAAAAGTATTTGCATTAAAAATTTAAAAGTGAAGTAAAATTTATAAGTGGAAAATAAGAATACACATAATATTTTTCTTTAAGATATTTAGCTGTGACTTTTCCTTTTAATCAAAACGATAAGATTTTATATTAAAAATATAAAAAGAGTTACGTTGTATACATTTACAGCATAATCCTCATGGCCATATGCAAAATCTGTATAACTTCACTTGACTAAAGAAAACAGTTGAGACTTGAGATGAAGAAATTCAGCTGCATGGATCATTATCCATCATATTTCCATACAAAAATCATTTCAGCTCACCAAAATAAATTTATAATAGTATGATTTGCAACACCCTACATTATTATTGCTGCCTAATAATCCTTCAAAGCATCCACTATGCACCTTCAAAATTTGTCTTCGAACAATTTCTCCTTTATATATTCACCAAAAAAAATGAAAATTAAAGCAATCTAAGCTTGATTTTTCTTTGAGACAAAAACACCCAAATAATAAACAGTTGAGTGCACATACAACATACCTGCCCTTTTTCATTCCATCATTCTTCCTCCTCATCACTATCTACGTAGACTTTACGTTGTTTACTCTTTTAATCTGTAAACAATAAATTGAATTTTTTTTTTAAAAAAAAAAAGGTTAAGACACGTTCAACAGTCATATATATATATATATATATAGACGAGTTCAGGTGCGGCAGTGTCTTACGGTGCGGCATCACCAATAGTTCAACAAATATACACCAACGTTAGAAAAATACACCACAAAAAACAGAGGAAAATTAGGTACGCATCACCAAACACACACCATTAGGTGTGAGTAAAAACACCATACACTGTTCAGAAATACACCATTGGGGGTGGTGAGTTATATGGTGTATTTTTTTGGGTCTGTTGTGTAATTTTTGATGTTTTATTGCATTTCATTGTGGTGTGTTTCCTTACACTGTTGGTGCATATTGTTAACACTGTTGGTGTATTCTAAAATTCCGTCGCACCGCCGCATTTGAACTTTCTTTTATATATATATATATATATATATATATATATATATATATATATATATATATATATATATATATATATATATATATGAGATCAAAGGAGAGAAAATAGATCATTATTCCTTGCAGATATTCAAGTAGCTTGAAATGTCAAGTAAAATAGAGGCCAGGGAGGGCATCATTTCCATAACTGCGTTGCTCATCTTGAATCCTCTTTGCAGAAGCTAGAAGGGAATCCCAACATTTGTTTAACTGAATCAATGCTAGTGTGTTGATACTTGCAAAATCACTAGGGATCTATCACAAAAGATCACATTTACGTAACTCTAAACATTAGAGTATAGGAAAATGGTTACATATGGTATTCCAATATTTGAGATTTGTGTTTCCAATTACCAACCCTTTCAATCGACGGGACCCTCCCTCATATGGCTCCCATTTTTCGCTTTTGCATGCACTTATCAATTTCAAAACCTCTAAATATATATGAGAACATACCAATAAACCTCATATCACTCTATCGTAGAGCAGTCCTAACTCCTGAGTAAGTTTAGATT